AGAGGTGGCCCTGAGAATGGTCAGCTCAAGAGGAGTAGAGGTAAATGTTCTTGTAGTTGAGGAGGTGAAGGTTGCTGGATGGGTCATCTAGAAGGACATGGAAGCCCTCAAGATGGGGCCAGAGTTAACAAGGAGGATGGTATTAGGTCAATTATAATGGAGAGAGATAGAGATAGAGATAGAGATAGAGATAGAGATAGAGATAGAGATAGAGATAGAGATAGAGATAGAGATAGAGATAGATATATAGGAACCAATAAAGAAACAAAGATATGACAACCTCCAAAATAGCTACAACCATCACCAAAATATTGACTAACCTACCTGGTTTATATAAGAATGGAATTGTAGAAACATAAATATATTTACAGTTGTGGAATATAGACAATGATAGAGACAGCAACAATGAAGTCTTTTTTATTGCTATGATAGATAAGTGTGCTGGCCAAAAATGCATGTAGTAAACCTTCACATACTGTGAGCCATCTCTAATAACTGAGGTACTCCCTCTACCCACAAAAGTACACAAACCAGAGGAATATCTGCTCCTAAATCACACACCCAAAGACTATCCTAGAAGCTCACCTGCAAATCAGGCAACACACAGGCTGTGAGTTTGTGGGGGAAATGCAATCTCTTCCCCATACATAGAACCAGATGGCATCTATCACATCAGCTGATATTTGTGATTATTACTATTTTCCATAATTGCCCTTCAGGGATCTGCTTCTTTGCATCATGTTAAATACTTGTAATTAGCCAATGAAAGATTTGGAGCTAAGCTAGTTTTAAAAATAACAACACTGAGAAACTGAGGCCAATGTAATGGAATGTATACCATAATTCTATTCTCATAATGCTAAATACTTTCAGCCAAAGATACTTCTAGAGATGCCTTTTATTAAAAGCATATGGCATATGTTCACTTTTGTTGTGGCTTTCAGTCTTCTTAGGCAACTCTGCAAATAAGGCATAGGAGGAGAGCGAACGGGGCTTCCAAAAAATGATTCTGATAAATCATGAGGCATGGGCTTAGCAATGTGTTCATTGCCAGGGGGAATCCTTGAGACCGCCAACCTTCATTGTGGTGATTTAGAAGGAAAGAGCTTTGAAAACAGACCTCCTTTCCCCCGTTAGATTTCCCTGTCAAGACACATAAAAGAATTAAAACTAATCAAAAAAGTCCAAGTGAGCTAGCTGGTTAACTAGGACAGGCCCAACCTTGAGTTCAGAGAGCTTTCTAATGCATTCCACCTGTCCCTCCAAGAAACAACGTTTACAGGGTACAGCGACTGCAAAGGAGGCTTGCTTCTAAAGAGAAGACGCTTATATGGTAGCCGAAATGGCATATCATGGAATTTTAGCTTGACATTGAGAGCTTTGTCACTCTTAATAAATCACCCCATGCCCAAGATACTGAATTTCTTTTCTTCTTACATGTTTTAAAATCTGTTTAATCATCATGAGAGAAGCAGCCGTCAGTACTATAAAGACCTAAGGCAGTCAGTCCTTGAGCCTCCTTATAATCTGGTCCCACCTTACCAACCAAATTTAGCATGCAATGGATCCTCTTCACCCCAGCAGGATGGACACTTCATTGTCTGGTCTCTCCCCTCTCCCCACACCACACAACTTCCTCCCTTACACACAAAGGCTATGATCACCCCTGCCTCCACCTATAGTGCTGCCCTGCCTGGACTGTTTCCCTTGTCACCACCTCTCCAAATCCCTCCGCTTCCCATTCATGTTCCATGCTCTGGGAAGTCTTCTCTAATGGCACCAGCCAGTACCAATCTTTTCCTTTCCTGATTATCACTCCCACTTCCTGTCAAACTAAGGATAGAAATTGCACTGTGCTTGGACTTACATCTTGAGGTTACTTCAAGGGCACCATGCCCTTTAAGCAATAACAGTGAGAATGGTAGGGGAGGTGGGAATGGAGTAGTGTGTGTTTTTATTATTTGCCAACCACCTTGGCAGTGGTTCATATTGGAACTTAAGGTTATGTTGCCTCATGTCATCCAGTTGTATAGAGTTCCATGTTCTATAAAAGATGTCAGAGAGAATTACAACTGATCATTCTGGAAGGGCCCCTCAGGCTGGCCCTCCCTTCCTGGGTTGGCTTGGTAGGCTTTAAAAAGATGATTTCAAATATGCTTCAGGGGTGATGGATTTCCTGGTGTTTTTTCTCATATATATATATATATATATATATATATATATATATATATATATAAATGTACCCATATGTCTATATGTTCTATACATATATACTCAATGCATAAACCAGATTACTAATTCCAATGGAGACATTTGGACAAGGAGTAGAGTTCCTTGGAGACATTTCTTCCCAGAAATTACACTCCCCAGGGCCACTTCTTCAAGGCACTTCCTTCTGAACAGAGGATAGGTAAGAAGCTTCAGAGTGTCCAGGAAGTTGCCCAAGGAGCATGACGTCAGAGCCTTCCTTCCCTTTCTTTCCAGAGGCTGAAACTGCTCTGGCCCTGCCACTCGCTGGTTGTGCTGTCACTAAGCACATTGTCAGCCTCTCTGTGCCTTGGTTTCCCCAGCTGTAAATGCAACTAGTAATAATACCTAACCTACAGGGTTGTTGTTAAGAGTGCTTAGAAAAGTCAGAAACACCTGCTAAGCACGTATTCAATGTTAGTTCTTTAGGATTTTTATTTATATCTTTTCACCAATACTTCAGAAAGTCCCTTTCCATAAGAATGCAACAGCCCTAAGAGAATAATGAAGCCCTTATTGATTTGTTTTTAAATCGTTGAAGAGTATTCTAAATCCAGGAGTACCAAGACCCATCTCACTTGGGATGGCTGATGTGTGAAAAACTTTTTTTCCCCCTCTTCTTTATACACAGTACCTGGGAGTGAACTCTACTCCTGGTTCAATTCTTGTTCTGAATTTTTATTCATAGACCATATGTGCAGATGTCTGTGTGGATGTGAATATAGGAGGTGAAGCCCCACAGCTCTGAGGCCCTTGGATGAGCATTATGCACTATCACTTCCAACACATTCTTTTCCTCTCCAATCCTCCCCGCTTCCAAAACAAAAAGCCTGTCTGTGATTCTCCTCTCTCAAGCAGGACCCGGGGCCCTTGGGAAGAGGTGAGGCATGACTGACACACAGGGAAGGCAGGCTGTGGCCCAGGCTGCTGGAGGGTAATCTTCTAGATGATTCATCAGGTTGGCAGACTCCCCCACCCCTCCTCTGGTCCCTGGAAAAACCCTGCCAGAGAAGGAGGAGGCTTTGTTTTGCTGATGTTTCTTAATCCAATATCAAACTGGAGGAATGGTACCTTTTCCTGAAAGACCTGCGTATAAAAGGTTTTGCTGCCTTCATCTTTGCTGTCATTGTTTTTAAAAATAAAGGAGTAGCCCCACCTAACTTTCCACTGGATAAGACATGAATGGGGGATTTTTATTTTAAGCTTCCGACTCTCTGCAAAGCGCACCCAGCGCCCAGGCGGGGAAGGGAGCTTGCGCCGTCTGCAGAGGCTACATGGCTCGGAGAGGAGCCAGCTCTCCTGCAGGTGAGGCACCGGAGCCTGCCCCGCACCCCGCGACCTTGACTAGAATTTCCCTCTTTGCTCCCTGCTTGTTTTACAAGGTATCGAATGACTGCCCGAATGACTGCCCGCGTCTAGTCAATGTCAAGGCCAAGGGAACGAATCAAGACCTTTCGTCCTCCCCTCCCCTCCCCGCTCTTCTCCCCCTCCCCCTTCCCATTCACCCTCCCTCCAGCCCGACTCCAAACCACAACACCGATCAACCAGCCCACTGGTCTGAAACCCTCTGAAGTAGTACAATATTAGAAGCTGTGGAAACAACGCATTTCCAATATCAGTAGGAGAGGGAAAAGGGACAGAAGGAGACAGAATTGGGGGGAAATGGGAATTCAACCTTTTTTTCTTTACGGGTGGCGGGGTGGGGGGCGGCGAGAGAGAAGAATAAATATCTCTGGGCAAGCAGGCCTTCCTCGGGGGAAGGGGAACCCACCATTTCCCCAGGTAACACATTCCAGAGAGGGAACAAATTGTCCGGAGATGCTGGACGGGGGCCACGGGAATACACAACGTTTAAATCCAACCATGGGAGTTGTTTACAATCCTCTAGAGAAGATGCCAAAGGGTTTACCAGGCGGGGTAATGGCTCGCAGCTGCGGTGCTGGCTGGGCGGTACCTCCCCGCCTTCCCTGCAGGAGAAGCTGAAGCAACACCGTGACTGGCCCAGGGTCACACTCCAAGCTCCAGACAGAAATAGTTCTGACTCCTCCCTCCTGGCTCGAAGCAGCAGACAACGCTGCCTTATTACTGTGCTATCATTCGAATCTGAATCATGTAAATGGCTCCTAATTGCAGGCCTATAGTGAACTGTAGCCCTGTGACTCTAACTGCCACGGAGCTGAGGTGGGGATGACAGACTCCTGAATATGGAATTAAAATGCTGGAAGGGGTGGGGGCTGGGAGAAGTGTTTGCAAACTCGACTTTGAAACTGCTGACTAGTACCATGTTTAGGCGTTGTTTTTTAATGGATTTGAAATGTCACCTCCAATTTGTTACTAAGTTGAAACAGAGAAGCACTTGGGGTTCAAATGAATGCCATTCAAAAGGGCATATGGGGGTGAATCTCAGCTGTTTCCCAAGCACTCCATCTTCACACTCTTCCTTTTTAACGCCCACTAAATTACCGCCTCATTTTGGTGTTTAAACTTCCCCTTTAACTCTTCTGTAGGCAGCTATGGGGGAGGGATTGGTAGGAAGGGGCCAGGGGAGCAACCAGGTGTATAAATTCAGATCTGTCCACGGGGCTGGTCACGTGCTGTGCTCAGGAAAGAAAGTACATTCCATGCAGCAAATTGCTCTAACTGATTCATTTGTCCAGGCAGAGACGCCACCTACCTGCTTGCAGGTATTCAGGTAAATGACAGGTGGGCGGGACCTACTGACTGTTTCAATAGCTAAGATCCCAGCAATGTTTTATCTGTCGAGGCTCCCTGTGATGTCACACATTTCCTGCTCTCCACCGACCAATGCCCTCCTCCTTCCTCTAGGCACCTGTACACGGAGGCTCAGGCCGGTCACAGCTCGGGCTGGGCTGCCCGGGGAGCTGCTGGATTCACCTGCACAGCGTGAGAGCTGCGGGGCTGCTGCTTTGAGAGGCCGGGCAGACACTTACAAAGGTGAGCTGAAACCCTCCATTTTCCTCTCTCAGCATTTAGACCCTGGCCCCAAGGGATCTGAATGAGGAATTGGAATGAAAACTACAAGCCTCCGGTGTTTGTCCCAGAGGGAGAAGCCCTCTTGAGAGAGAAGCGCAGAGGGATGCCTTTGCCATTTTGGTTGCACAGGCAAGTCCTCCCAGACCAGATATTTAATCCCTTTTGCTTCTCTTAATCATTAATCCAGCCTCTGCTTGTCTGGGAAGTTGATCTGATTTTTTTTTTTTTTTAACCCTGGAATGGAATAGAGACTTTTGAAATTTAACTCACAGGTACAGACCAATTCAGCCGGTCTATTGGGGGTGGGGAGGCCAGCGCCAGCTGAATTCAGAATGGCTGTATTTGCTTTATTTTGCCGTGCTTTCTGCATTCATCACACCAGAGGCAATTTCAACCGAAAGCTGCTCAACGTCCTTAATTGCTCCCCACCTCGCTGAAATTTTTTCTCAAACAGGTAAATTCTGTTCCCCACTCAGACGCCCTCTACTCCAGTTTCCCTCCCTCTACAGTACTTCTCTTTTGAAAAGTCTACTGTTTTCTTTGTTTTTTGCTAAACACCCTTTTAAAAACCACTTTGCTATCTGGTTGGAATTGTTTACATTCACCTCTGGACTGGCTGCCCGTTGACCCTTCACTTAGGTTAAAGTAAAGACTATTTCCTCTTTGCTTACAAGAAGGTAACTTCAGGTCTGCCATTTAATTTTCTGGCACTCGTCCACTTTTTCTCTTTCTCTCTTTTAGTAGCAAATATACTGGGGAGATTGTTCTGCGGGGAACTGACATTTTTACTAGTAATTTTACCTCTAGGATCCATTTTGGTTTTCCTAGTCCTGAGCACGCAGCTGTTACTACTTCTGTTCTTGACAGTCCACTGGCCACACTCGACAGTGGTTAGAGCAGGAGAGCAACCGTCTCCCAACACAGTTCCCTCCGGGGATGAGCTGGGAACTTGGGAGAGAAGTCCACCTGCTAGGGAGGCATTTCATTCATTGGTTGTTTTTCTGAGATTTCAGTTAGCAAATATATTTGCAAAAGAATAACCAGTGAGGAATTATGCTCCTCTTTACTCACCCAGGAACTCAAAGTGCATGTCAGTTCTTCAAAAGTATAAATTGAAACAAGATGAGAAGTTTCTTTGTTTCGTTTTTGTCTCAGTTGCTGGTTGCCAATTTCCCTCTTGCTCCTTGGAGGCGTGTATTGTTCTTTCCCACCTTTGTGTCTGTTCTTTCCCCTGAGCCAGTGTGTTGGGTGGTGGCCTCTGCTTGTCCCTCCCTGGTGTTCTCACTTGCTCCAGAGTTTTGACAGTAGAGGAGAGAAAAAAATCTCTTGGGTCCTGAATCTTCTGGATAAAACATGTCTTTAAAGTCATAAACTTCTCCCACAAGATTACCATGGTTCTCAGTTCTATGCACAGTAATTAATTTATGATTGAACAAATCATTTCATCACTACATGTCAGTTTCTACAGCTACTAAAGGAACAGAACTATAAAAAGAAACAATGACAGAGACTAGGGTTAGGCAGGGTCAGGTTACCTAGAATGCAGTAGATCTCTTGGAGAATTGGCACATAAGTATTGCCCAGAGGGGTGGGAAGAGCCACCGTGGTTCCCTGCCTGTAGTGACTCCATCCCTTGGTTCAAGTAGCAATAGGGCCTGACTGAAAAAATGTACAGTCTCTTCCGTTCATGTCCTTGAGCAAGTTACTTAACTTCTCTGACCTTCAGTTTCTTCTTCAGTAAAACAGGGATAATAATCCCCGTGATGATGATGTAGTCCTCAGAAGTAAATGAGACAACATGGAGCGCTGAGAGGCAAGGTCTGTGCTAGGTGGGGGCCAGATGAAGGCAGGCCCCTCCTCCTTGAAGGCACCTTCCGGGGTTGTTCGAAGGGGATTGTCTGACCCTATGGAGATAAAAGATCTCTTGTGTTTACAATTGTTAGGAACCCTGATTGTTCTTGTTATGGTTATTAATTGTAAGTAATTAACATCAATGTTAACAGATCAGAAAAAGAAAAACAGGGTTATGATTATTAATTGTAAGTAATTAACATCGATGTTAACAGATCAGAGAAAGAAAGCAGGCAGGAGAATGCTTAAACTGTGTCATTAAACAGCCAGGCAGATTGGTCTCTGCCAGCCTCGCAGGCCACTGCTGTCCCCCCACCTTCCCCAGGTCAGGGCTCTCATCCCACGACAGACCTATAAAATGTGGTCTCACACAGGTCTTCAGGGGATGTATCCTCTTGTGTTGGCTGTAGTGGGACTTGCAGGCTGCCCTTTCTGCTTTCAGCTGTGCTATTTCCAGGGCAGATGGGGTGGGTGCTTACTCTCCTCCAGACCTGTAGGCAAACACCCGTTGCTGCAGTCTGGGTGAGCTGCCTGCCGAGTCACTGGGAGAGGAGGCAGCTGGTTTGGAGCCTGCACTGTCCTGTGAAAGGGGAATTTGTGAATTCTTTGGACAGGATTGCCCCCCTCATGGAATATCCTCTGCCTTTCGATGGCCTTGAGTCATTGCATAAAAACAGGTGTGTTCCCAGGTCCCTGGGACCTTCTGTAAGTCTCACCCTATCCTGAAAAGATAAGGCAAGCTTTCATCATTCAAGAGCAAGGGAACAGCCTAGTTGATTGACGACAGGGTTTTAAAACCCTGAGCCTGCTACTAGCTTGCTTAGGGGACCCTGGAGAAGAACCTCAACCTCCCTGCCCATCAGTTTCCTTGTCTACCTTTTCCTAAAAGAGGGATGCTGAAATGGTATACTTCACAAACCACCACTGTCCTCTCACAGAAGCTACATGGCTGCACACCTAGGGAGGGGAAGGGTAGTTCAGACTGACAGCTGAGGGGTGGGCAATGCCTCACTAGGGCATAATAATCTTATTTATTCCTTTCTGGGTGGAATAGTGCCACTGCTTTAGAATAGTGGTCTGGTCTCTGGCAACAGTCTGCCTGGGTTCAAAACCCAGCTCTATCACATACTAGCTATGTGACCTGGGATAGGTTATTGACCCTTCTTTATGCCAGCTATTAAACAGTTACTGTGAAGATGAAATGAGCTGAAATATGTGAAGTTTTGGAGTAGGACCTGGCATACTGATATAGCTATTACTAGAATAAATTTATTGAAAGGAAAGCGTAGTAGGTAGAATCAGACAAATCTGGATTTGAGGCTGGTTCTGCCATGTAAATTACTAAGCTACATGAGTTAGCATCTCTTTGTCTCAGGTAAAATGGAATAGTTACCAAACCCAGTGCTGTTGTGAGGAATAATTGAAACGATTTTATGTAAATGTCAAGTATATAGTAAGTGCTCAATACATCTTAACTATTATTATATATTATAGAAAACATTTGTTCTATTGGTCAGAGTTAGGCATCCGAGGTCATGCCTAGTCTGGATATAATAATGATAGAAACAGTAGTACATTGAGGGCCAAAGACTCTGAGCAAAACAGATTTCCCGAAAGGCCCCCAAAGGCCCAGAAGGAAAACCTGTTAATAAAGATTATCTTGTTTATGCTGGAGTTCCAGGGCAGGGGAGCTGCCAGTGCCATGCCTGGTCTGTGCAGAACTGAGGGCAGGAGGACTCTGCGATATAAACAAACAGTGGATTCTTCTGGGGTAGTGATTCCTGGCTTCCTGGCCCCTTTTTAGATTTGAATTCCTCTCCTAGAGTAGAGAAAATCAGGTCTGCAAAGATCCTGACCACTTACAAGGCCATTCTGTAAGATGTGGCCAAGAGAGGACTATGAGAGAGGCTCCTCACTGCCATAGTATCACAGACTTCCGGTGGTTACAACTATTCCTGATATTTATGTGCCCACATCACAGTCTCACTCTCATGTGGGTGGCAAGTTGATTGTCCTCTGACAGTGTGTCCAAAGTATTGAGGGCTTCTGAAAACTATTTGGTAGGAAGACTATGTCACTCTTCTAGGTCAATGGGATTTAACTATTTACTATCCCCAAAGAGTAAGAGTTAACTTGGAAGCCATACAAGTTTCTAAGAACAAACACTTCACTGAACTGAAATCAGAAACAGCGAATGTTGGCTGCTTCCTGTAAACCTCTTACATTCACCATTTCCTCGTATCTCATTTTGAACCAGTGACTTATTGTTCAGTTACCCAGAGACACAGTTCAGATTAACAATAAGGAAGGATTTTCTAAGAATTAGAGTTGTCCCCAAATCCGTAGGTTGCCTTTGAGGAACTGCGTTCCCTGTCACTGAAGATGAGTGTTTTTGGTATATTTAATGCCTGGTATCTGTTTGCTGAATGAGTGAATGAATGAATGGATTTGTGTTTCTTTAGCAGCACATACACTCATCTGTAAATAAAGATTCTATCACTGATCTCATAGGATCATTTTACAAATTAAATGAGAAAATACATGTAAAATACCTATCACAGTATCTGGTTCCTAGTGAACTACTTATTAAATAGTAATGATTATTATTTTATTTTACATTATATTCTAAAAAGAAGGGGGGAGAATAGACTCCAGCTTCAAGTAAAGGGTTGACAAGAAATTTGCCGTTTTTATTAGAGTCTCTTTATTCCAATTCTCTTCACCCCTGCCCTTCATCCTCTGCTTTTCTAGAAAACCCACGCCCCCTGCTCTAGGGAGTCACCTGTCTTGACACGGTAGACTGCCTAGTACTCTTCTACCAGTGGCAGGAATTCTGTCCCAATTAACCAGGGCCATTTTTCGTATATCGCTCATTTGTGACTTGGAATGCATGGACTTAAATTCCATCATTATTTTCCAGTGACTCTTATTTGCTTCTTGTGTTTGATGCATTTGTCACAGGGACACCAAAGAGTCCACCAACAGCAGAGTGGAAGCTCTCCAGGAATTCTCTTTAATGGCCACTTGGCACCGTGCATGGCAACAGCACATGCATGATGGTGCAGTCCAAAAATGCCATTGCTATCTGTGGAGATGATTTGCATAACTTGCTGATGATGCTGGGTCAGTCACGTGGCCTTTTTTGAATAGAACGCTGCATGTTTAGGCTCCTGCACACTCCCATAATACATGAGTCACTCAGTGTTTTCATAGTCCTCATTAAGTACTATTGTTATGCTTGTAATATGTCTTCAACAACACACCCCCTCAGCCATTCTACCTGTGGCCTCTTTTCCGCTTGGGGCCCTTGCAAAAGTGGCTTAACAGTTATCCTTGAAGATATCTGTATTCTAACTTAGTAATGGATTCAAAGGAAATGACTACATTTTATACTAGGCCACAACTGCTATCCCTAAGTATGTAGCAGCCTAAGTAGCTGCCACCCCCAACATCTTCTGGATTCCTGAGCCGTGTGGAGAAGTGCTGGGGTGCCTCACTGGGAGTGTTCACCCCACTTCTGGGGGATTCCCCTGGAAATACATAGCCCCTGTATTATTTTCCTAGGGATGCTGCAACAAATTACCATGAGCTCGGTGGCCTAAA